CTCTTTAATTTATCTTATTTTCCAATTGATTTTAGGTGCTCAAAAAAGAAAAAAGAATAACTGTTTGCCATATTTCCATAAAGCTTACCTAAATCCCCATCTGTGTATGAAAACGTGCCTTGTATCACATTGTTAGCTTGTTAAGGGTTTCTTGCAAGTGTTAATTAAGTCTGTGTATATTTGACTGGTGCCTGCAGGACGCCTGTGGTCAACTGTCTACCTCTCTCATCTCACTCTACAGTCCTCCTATTCAGAGCACTCCTCTATAAAAAGGCAGCCATTGAAAAAAAAAATTATCTTTTAGAAAGGCTAAACCTTTCGAGTTTGGCTTCTGAAATCCGAATGTCAGATTTCAACTGAATCATTTAAAACCTTTGGTGTCTTTGCATGTATACAGTTTCTGGTTACCTAGAAAGCTTATGGATACACAAGCCAGAGAGAGAGGCTACCCCTGTCTCACTGGCAGTGGTAAAAGTCTTGTGGGTTTAGACAAATCAAGGTTGTTCGGCCCATCAAAGCACTCAGAGTTGAAATGATGGAGTTGAAGGTCAGTGATGTCAGCAAAGATGTTGACTTTGTCTGAGTCAGAGTACTTACTGGTCAGTGGAGTCCCTAATTTTTCAGTCTGTGTATTGCTGCTTCCCAGTTTGTGTGTCTCTGTATTTCAGCCTCTAATGTTCTCACTTCAGTGCTCCAAGTTTTCTTTTAAAGATCTTCAAACTACTACCTTGCCATTTGGATCAAAGTACCAACCTAAGCCAGAAGTACATATATTCATTCATAAATCCAAAAACTCCATTGCATCAATCTATGCCCTAAACAATTATAACCGATTGTTTTATTTGACTTTGTTTGACAAACTAACTGATTAATGTATCAGACAGTAATGGAAAGCATATGTTTTAGCATTTTTAAGGGGTTTTAATGATAAAAATAAGAGTTTCTCAAGGCCACAACACTTTACTTCAATAGAAATGGTACATGTTAAAACATCATGTTAATGAACAGTAAATAAGAGCAATTGTAAAAGATTGCCACCACCTATCAGTGTGTGCTTTCATTCCAACCATAATCTTAGGATCAACAAAAGGCTTACCTCCTCTATCAACCTCATAATCGTCTTTTATCTGATAGCTACTGCATACAGGCGGTAAACATGGCAACATCTCCCAAGTGTGCCCTCTTATGGAATCTCCTGGAATATGCATACTACACAGGCAAGTATGTAGGCAGTTATGCTGGGTACAGAGATGGTTGCTAACTTGAACA